GGGCCTTTAACGGACAAAGCTGGCTGGAGGCGATTTGGACTCAGGAGGAAGCAAGGAAATAATCTTTTTTTTTTCTTTTTCCTTTTTAAAAAGTGTTGCGTTATAAAGGCTAATGATTAAAATCATAAAACGGACCCTGAGAAATGAAAGATGAGTCCTGGGAAGGAAGTAGATATGAGTGGGTAACCATAGGGATTGGTAGGGATTTTTTTTTTTTTCTTTATTGAGAAGATTTGCTCATCTGTTCATTTTGGGATTAGCTTGTTCCTTATAAGCAAGGGTGCTCATTTTACAGTGTTTCCATATTAACTTTTCCCTCATTAATCTTGCATTCTGTAGCAATATGATATTACTTTATCCGACCTAAACCAGCCAGTGCTTGTGAGTCTGCTGAAAAGCAAGAGAAATGACAATACTGAGGCTCGGGTGGCCCACCTGATCCCCGAGCTCTGCTTTCTAACAGGTAACGTTTATGCTTTACACTCCAGCAGTCAGGCTCTTGATCCCAGGCTCGGCAGAACCTCCCCCAGCTTTTGGGGTGCCAGAGCATTCATTTAACCCATGCAGGTGGACCTGTGAAGTGATGTGTTTGACAGAGAAAGTGGGAGGACAGAGAGCGCTTTGTGGATTGTCTGGCACAGGAAGAGTTATATGTTTTCCTTATCTCATGTATTCTGTTTGTTACTTTGCATAAAATAGGCCCCCAGAGATGTTCCTAAAACCAAGCTTCTCTTTTTTTTTATGTGCACTATTCACTTTTTTATTTATGTATTTGAAACCACTTAATTGAGGTAATGATTGACATGTCGAAAGCTGTGCATATTTAGGGGAGCCCGGGTGCTCACTCGGGGTTAAGTGTCTGACTCTTGATATCAGCTCAGGTCATGTTCTCAGGGTTGAGCCCTGTGTTGGGCTCCATACTGGGCGTGAAGCCTACTTAGTAAAGAAAAAATTATCTAATAAAAGCTGTATATATTTAATGAATACAACTGGATGAGTTTGAGGTAGGTGTACACTTAGAAAAACATCATCATCATTAAGGTCATAGACCTATCCTTCACCTCCCAAAGTATCTTACTTCCCCAATTATTTGTTATTATTATTACTATTATTTTGACACACACTATTCTATTTAACTTCCATGTAATCTTCATGAAAATCCCTATGATTTAGGTATAATAATTATTATCTCCATTTTATAGTTGAGGGAGCCAAAGCTCCAAGCTTGCTCTTAGTCCTATGCCTTTTAATAGGCAGAATTTAGGATTTTTAAAAAAGATTTTATTTATTTATTTGAAAGAGAGAGTGAGTGAGAGAGAGAGAGAGAGAGAGACATGAAGGGGAGGAGGGGGAGAGGGAGAAGCAGACTCCCCGCTGAGCAGGGAACCTGATGTGCGGCTCGATCCCAGGAGTCTGGGATCATGACCTGAGCTGTAGGCAGACGGTAACTGACTGAGCTACCCAGGCACCTCAGAAGTTAGGATTAACTTTTACCTGTCCAACTTCAGATCTTAATTTCTTTCTTACGGTACTTTTCATCCCAGAATAAGCGAGGGGATTCTAGGGAGTTGGTTGAGGTTGGAACCAGAAACCTTTCCAATGGTGTTACCTAATTAGAGTGAGCTAGAAGGGAGTAGCCAAAGAACCAGTTTGAGTTACTTTATTTGGGAGAGACTCTAGAGGTGCTAGTAATTTAATAAGAGATAAGTTCTCAAGGTTAAACTTTTCTAATTCAGGAGTAGTTTACAAATGGTAGCACCGTGTGTGCTGTTACCTCAGGGCCTTTGCATTAGCTGTTCCCTGTGCCTGAATATTCTTTTTAAAAACTTATTAATTTATCTTTTGAATCCCAGTATAGTTAACATACAGTGTTATAGTAGTTTCAGGTGTACAATGTAGTGATTCAGCGGTTCTGTGCATTGCTCAGTGCATATCATGATGAGTGTGCTCTTAATCCCCTTCACCTGTTTCCTTCATCCCCCACCTCCCCTTTGGCAACCACCAGTTTGTTCCTTATATTTAGGAGTCTGTCCTTTTGTCTCTTTCTTTGTTTTTTTGTTTGTTTTGTTTTGTTTCTTAAATTCTACGTATACGTGAAATCATATGGTATTTGTTTTTCTCAGTCTGACTTAATTCACTTGGCATTATACTCTCTAGCTCCATCCATGTTACAGCTGGCAATATTTCATTCTTTTCTATGGCTGAATAGTATTCCATTGTGTATGTATGTGTATATATATATGCATGTGTATATGTGTGTGTGTGTGTGTGTGTATCACAACTTCTTTATCTGTTCATCTATTGATGGATATTTGGGTTGCTTCCATGTTTTGACTGTTGTAAATAATGCTGCAATAAACATAGGGGTGCATATATCTTTTTGAATTAGTGTTTTCACTTTCTTTGGGTAGATACCTACTAGTGGAATTACTGGATCATATTAAACCAAGCTTCTCTCCAGCATTTTTGAGCTTCACTAGTATAGGAAGCAATAGGACTTTGATTTTTTTCAGGTACATTGTTTGTGTGGTGCCAAAATGATCCTTGTTTTCTTTTTGCATGAGTTCTAGAAGGTAATTCTCACTATACAGTAGAATCTGAGTAACTGTCTCAAGCACTTTTAATCATGTTCATTTGATTAATAGGGTGGGACTAAGCAAGGAGGACTTTTACATTTTGTTATCAGTGTGTATATATTTATTTCATAATTAGAAAAATTAGTAAGGATATAATTCTTGAAGGGAAGGATGCTCGTTCTTAATGGTATTCTGATATTCTGGATCTGCACAGTCCTATATGGTAGCCACTGGCCATATGCATTTATTGAGCCCTCAAAATGTGGGGAGGGCTGTGAGTGTAAAATACAAACTGGATTTCTAAGACGTAGTGTGAAAAAACAAGGAAAATAGCTCATTTTTTTAATACTGATTTTATGTTGAAATGATAGCATTTTAGATATATTAAGTAATATATATATTATTCAAATAACTTCATGTTTCTTTTTGGCTTTTTTAAAAATCTATTTATTTTAGAGAGTGAGAGAAAGAGAGCAGGGGAGGGGCAGAGGGAGAGGGAGAGAATCTCAAGCAGACGCTGCACAGAGCTAGATGCGGGGCTCCATCTCACGACCCTGAGATCATGACCTGAGCTGAAATCAAGAGTCAGATGCTTAACTGACTGAGCCACCCAGGTGCCCCTCTTTTTGGTTTTTTTAAATGTGGTTGCCAGAAAATTTAGAATGACATGAGTGGCTTGCATTTTATTGGGACAGTGCTATCCATATGCTAGATCTGAGTCAGTTTAAGTGCAAAGCTTAAAATCTGCCTGAGCTGGGCTGGGTTATATTGCATGCTGTTCATTTTTCCCTTTGTTTTCATTTCCATTAATAGGGCTGACCCGCCAGGCAACCTCTGATTTCCAGCTGATGAAGGCCGTGGCTGAAGAAACACGTCTCAGCCCTTTGGGAAGGCAGCAGCGCCTGGCCAGGCTTGCTGACGACATTCAGAGGTACTGGGCCACTTTGCTGGGGCCAGAGTGTATCCTGCCTAAGGCCTGGTTTATGGAGTTGGATGGTCTACAGAATGTTTCATTCCTTGATGGAATGCCTCTTTGCTGCTGACTCAGAGCAAGGCACTTTTGGATTGTGTAGTCCAGAGCCAGAGGTTCATCCCTGATGCCTCAGGATCACGGACTGCGGGGAGGTGGTTGGAGCCCATGCTGGCCTAAGTGCCATCTGGCTTCAACTAGATAACCCTCCTCTCCTCTGTTTTAATACATGGAGGTTTTGGATAAACATTTGAATGAAGAAAAGGGTTGTAGTTTAAAAAACAAAACACAACCACACCAGGCCCCCCTTATTCAGGGTCGAGAATGTTCAGATCTTAATATGGTGGCCTCAGCACACTGATCATTAGAAAAATTCTACTGTGTAGTCCTTAAACTTAGGAATACCTTGGCGCCCTTTGGTTTAACCCATCTACCCCCACACTGAATTCCTGTCCTCATTCTGACAGTTTGATGTCACCTGGAATGCTGATATTGAGCTGCTCCTGGTTCTCCCTTCTGACGTACTAAAACTTCACTGTCCAGTGCGATAGCCCCATGTAACTATAGGACATATGAAATGTGGTTAGTATCTTGAAGTGTGGTTACCATCTTGAAATGGTCACATTTTGAATTTATTGGGTTAAAGAACATGTATTTTCAAAATAATTTTACTTGACAATTTTTACTTTTTTAATGCAGCTATTAGAAAATTTAAAAATTACATATGTGGCTTACTTTATATTTCTGCTGGACAACATTGTAGAATGGTCTTTTTTCTTTAAAGATAAAAAATTTGGAGGACACATTTGGAAACTTATATAAACAGAAAGAAATGCATGTGTATGTACACTCAGTAAATATTTGTTTCATGCATGAGTGAATCATAAGTGAATGGTGTATATTGTCTCAGATATTGTTAAATGCATATAATCATGTATAATCATGTTCTTTTTAGGAAAATGGCATAGTACTGTACATCATGTTTTGTAACTTGCTTTTTCTTGAACATTTCCATATGGTAAATGTGCATCTCTGTTATGCTCGTGGACTCATAGTTTTCCATTTTATGGCTACACTTTATGTCATTTATCCTGGACATCCCCCAGACTTAACAGGTAGTTCAGACATTTCCTGGTTCTCTCCCACTTATTCCGGTCTGTGGATTACTCTTCCTGACGCCTCTCCTTGCCACCTTTCCGGAATCCCATCCATTTCAACCCAGTTTCTTGACCCGTGATCACTTCACCCGTCTCATCTTGAGCAGATAGTATCTGAAGCAAAATAATTAATTCAAAGTATTCGTGTGACCAGACCAGACACAGCATTACCAGATGGAAATAACGAGCTGTTGCAGAAAGTCCATGTAAAGAGGTTTGAGCTCCCCTACAGAGAGAGGGGAAGCTTTGTGTGGTAAAGCACGAGTCTCATCAGTCTCTCTAGTGAGTGCCTGGCTCCCCATGTGCCAGCGACTGTAATGGAGGCCAGGAGGAAAAGTCGACATGCTTGCTTTCCTGAAGGAACTGACAGCTTCCTAGAGATGACCATATATCATAATCCAATGAGATTACACATGAACTATGATCAAGGTTTACTAAGTTATAAACTTAGAGTACCATAAATATATAAAGCAGTGATTACTGCTGACACTAATATTCTCCTCACGATCTTCCTCCTGCCCTGTCTTGCCCTATGAACCTTCTGAAGTCCAAGTCCGTATGTTCCCGTCCTTTGTCATCTTCCATCCACTCCTAAGCCAACTAATTCAGATATTCCCAGAAGACATCTCCACATGCAGAGTCTCCATAATATCTCTTTATTAACACGTTTCTTATTGGGAAAAATGACGAACATT